CGTATTAGGGACGCCTGCTTTTATACGCATATGAACTTTAATGGCATGCCAGTCTTAGTCCGTAGGGTTCAATATTGAGTTGGCCCACCCTTTGCCGCTATAAAAGCTTCAACTCTTCTGGGAAGGCTGTCCACAAGGTTAAGCAGTGTGTCTATGGGAATGTTTGACCATTCTTCCACAAGCGCATTTGTGAGGTCAGGTATTGATGTTGGATGAGAAGGTCTGGCTCGCAGTCTCCACTCTAATTTTACCAAATATGTTCTATCAGATTGAGGTCAGGACTCTGTGCAGGCCAGTCAAGTTCCTCCACCCCAAACTCGCTCATCCATGTCTTTATGGACCTTGCTTTGTGCAATGGTGCACAGCCATGTTGGAATAGGAAGGGGCCATCCCCAAACTCTTCCCACAAATGTGAGAGCATGAAATTGTCCAAAATGTCTTGGTATGCTGATGCCTTAAGAGTACCCTTCACTGGAACTGAAAAACAACCCCACACTATCATCCCCCCTCCACCAAACTTTACACTTGGCACAATGCAGTCAGGCAAGTATGGTTCTCCTGGTAACTGCTAAACCCAGACATGTCCATCGGATTGCCAGACAGAGAAGTCTTCATCAGTCCAGAGAACACGTCTCCACTTTTCTAGAGTCCAGTGGCGGCGTGCTTTACACGACTGCATCTGGCTCTTTGCATTGCACTTGGTGATGTAAGGCTTCGATGCAGCTGCTCGGCCATGGAAACCCATTCCATTAAACTCTTTACGCACTGTTGTTGTGCCAATCTGAAGGCCACATGAAGTTTGGAGGTCTGTAGTTATTAACTCTGCAGACAGTTGGCAACTTCGGCGCACTGTGCGCTTCCGCATGCGCTGACCCTGCTCTGTCATTTTACGTGGCCTACCACTTCGTGGCTGAGTTGCTGTTGTTCCCAGTTGCTTCCACTTTGTTACAATACCACTAACAGTTGACAGGAAAATATTTAGTAGCAAGGAAATTTCACAGATGGACTTATTGCACAGATAGCAACCTATCACAGTACCACGCATGAATTCACTGAGCTCCTGAGAGCGACCCATTCTTTCACAAATGTTTGTAGAAGCAGTCTGCATGCCTATGTGCTTGAGTTTATACACCTGCGACCATGGAGGTGATTGGAACACCTGAATCCAATGATTTGGAGGGGTGTCCCAATACTTGTGGCAATATAGTGTGTATCTATCTATCTATCTATCTACATACATACATATACACACACACACATCTACACTTTATATACATCCCACTGTATTACCCTGTTAGTGAGACTGCTCCTGTTCATGTTAGCCAAAGTAGAGCAGTCCAATTAAACATTAGAATATGACCAAAACCAAATCAAGCTGATTTTTTGGCCAGCAGGTGTCTTGGCAATAATTGTCAATATATTGTCATATAATTTTTTTTTTTTAGTGTTTTCAACTAAACAATTAAGCAGTGAAAATGTGCCTCCCCCATTCTAGAACAATACAACCTTGGAAAACCAGACTAGCATCTCCGTAGTCAGAGGGCAGGAAAGTGATTCAAAGTGAGAAGTCCTAACAAAATTGGTGGTATGGTAATCATGGGGTGTTGTCCAAGTAGTGCAGGTCCTACCCAGGTGAGCGGTTAAAGGTCCACATTTTGTTTGAGTATCAGCTCAGTCATATGTGCCAGACTGGCATTATTTAGGGGGCATATTTGTATATGTACTAATTATCTACTAATAAAAAATAATTCGATTGGTAGATAACAAAATGAATAAGGAAGAAGGAAGATCACATTAACAGATACAGCCAATCACTTGAGCACTGGAATTTTTAGTCATTCACCGTACTTTGCTGCCTATCTTAGAGAGACAGCAACTGCCAGAAAGAATGTCAGTCTTTCACCAATGTCAAACTTGCCATGAACAAAATCACTAAATGGAATACTTATTTACTTCTACAGCATTACTCCCTCACTACCCAAAATGCTGAAAAATCTTTCAATGGTGGAGCAATGGCTTGTTGGCTCTCCATTTTTGCTCTCCTAGTGATTCTGAAAATCTATTCTACTTTATGAGTAATTCCCATGTCAGAGACCCTAGCGTTATGCTAGAAAGACTGCCCTAATAAATCATTGATGTTATAGTGTAAAATATTATTACAAACACTTTCATTTCAGAACATGTAGGATCATCTTCAAGTACATCATCACTTTCTTGTTTTTAGGGACAGGCATACCATTTTATGCAGACTCTGCCACTGCTCTGGCACTTGGGGTCCCAAGTATGGTAGATGTGGTCAGAGTGGTGCTGGGACCCCTTCACACTGTCACATCTATCTAGTTGTCAATCACTAAAGCCTGTAAAGTGTGTTTAGCAAGTAGTTGCATGGGGGACCCACAATTTGGTATCACACAGGGGTCCTTTGGTGACTCTGTCCATCACTGCCTGTGGTGTATGCATGATAGTGAGATTAAGGGCTAGAGTACATGGGCCTTTAAGATCAGTTAAAGTAAAGGTAATCAGGCCAGCCAGCGCAGTGGCACGGGGAGTCTATAGTACTGTGGGTGGATCATAGCTTACACATAACTTTCCTTTCACTCCCAGCAGTAGAATGGATCAGAATGGATCGAATGGATCGAGAATACTATAAAATGGAACGCTTGCATAATCAAAATGTGGGTTATTATTCTAAAATCAGGAGCTTCGGAAATCATATATATCAAACAGTAAATACAATTGTCTCATTTTTTTGCGGAGCAGAACAATTCTAAGCTCAGAAATCCATATAGTTAAAGGTAAGCAGTGTCAACATACAGAAAGCACATTGACCAAGAGGTTAGCAACCTTTCCTCACTTTGCTGTGGTTCTGAATTCCACTGATGATCATTTATATGTTCCATCTGTGACTGTGTGGCTTTGCTCTAGATGTTCCTGTATCCTCTCACAATCAGAAAACATTATGGTATGCTCATGTACTACTAATCAAACATGTACAGTGTGTGTATGTTTTTAAGAAATTAGAATGTAAACTCCTTTTAGCATCGATGTAAATGGTTAAAATATTCTCTGTAAAGTGTTCGGGAATATGTTGATTCTATATAATTGTGATACAGAATCACCTACATAGCTGGGTGAAGATGTATATAGTTGTTGGATTCTTTAGCTTAAAGAAAACGATTTCCAATACATTACATTAAATTAAAAGTAAACTATATATTAAAAGGAATTACAGAAAAAAAAAAGGACAACGTTTAATGGATTAGCTCTCATATTAGTTATTGATCTTGAAAATCTGTGATACATTAATTAGCCTGATCTGGATCAGGTATGGATCTGCATGTCTTGGTTTACTCAACTCTAAAGTCTCGTTCACACCTAGGCGTATTGCATATGCGCGTCTGTCGTGCGTTTTTTTACCGCACGACAGACCGCTACTTGGCTGTATCCCAATGGAAACGCGCAACAAAACGGCCCAAAGTAGTACCTGTACCTTTTCAGGCGTGGGCCGTTTTGTAGCGCGCTAGGGACGGGCGGAAATACGCCAAGGTGGGAATGAGATCATTGAATACAATGGGATTGATATTTTTGAGCGTTTTGTAGAGCGTTCGTCGAGCGTAGAACGCGTAGAGCGTAGAACACGTTCATTAGCCCTCGTTGTGAACGAGGGCTAATGGTAACAAGCAAGTGCAAATTTGTGACATTTTACTATGGGAGCAGCTTGGAGGCCTTTTAAAAAGAAAAAGTTGTTTTCAAAGAAATTGTATTAGAGTCATGTTATATGACCAGGGTTCTAGTGGAGTTTTTCTTTAAGAACAATTAATTATTTAATTTGAAAAATTATGCTGTGAAACATATATGGTGTCTGACAGTAAAATGCAATTGATAGCAAAAAAAAAAAAGTGATATCTTTCCTACCTTAATCCATAAAGAACAGTTCCATCTGGATGAAGTCGAATCATTCTGTTCTTCACGGTAACCCCATGAACAAATGATCTTTTATCATTCAGAAAGTATGTATCAGGCACCCACAGCTGATCAGCGACCCTGTTATCCAGCGTGAGGTTTAGCGGAATTCCTGAATAAGAAAGTCTTTTGTCTCTCCATGACTGCTGAAAGTACATTGTGAGTGTATAGTCCTGGAAAAACAAAGAAAACACTAAATATAATGCTTCAGGAATATATTCACAGATCTAAAGGAATTATGTGAAGAAATAGAAACTGAAAAACAGTAGAAAGAGAAATCAAACAGATCATTCTACAAATGCATATCATCAAATGCTTTATGAAATTGTTCTGCAGAACATTGCTTTTCTATTTTCAGGATCAAGAGACTGAATCTGTTATCTCTATACTTATCTGGCCAGCAATTATATGGCTTCAGTGCCACATTCCTATCTGTATGTGACTTAACAGGCCCAGGGCAGTCAGGTCAGTTGCAGTGAAGCTGAAGAAGTGCTTTACTGATCCAGAAAAATCACTTGGCATGGGTAAGAGAATCCCTACTTCCAAGAGGCCAGAATTGGTAAGTTTCAGTCAGTCATTGCTAGTCTAATTGGCCAACCCGTGACCTAAACATAAAAGAGATAATTTACTAAAGGCAAATAGGCCATTTACTATTGCAAAGGCATTTTAATTTTGCAAGGAAATTTACCCCCACCTTAGTGAATCTGGTGAAAATTCACTTTGCAAAGAATACCCAATAACATGCAAGGAAAATGTTTAAAAAATGCATTCTTTCTTGCACATGATTGGATAATGCAAGTCAGCCGGTCTTAAGCTCATTCACTAAGATCAATGGAAATTGTGTTGCAAAGTGAAAATTCCCTTGCAAAATGAAAAGTCTATTTGTCTTTAGTAAATGAACCCCACAGAATGTGTTGACTCTAAGAAATCCTATTCAAGAGAGCTTAGCTAAAGCACTGAGATATAATAGTGTTATAGAGTAATATCTAGTTAGTTATTAAAACAATATGCTAAGAATGATCAAGTATGTTAATTATAAAAGGTAAACTTTATGAATAACTAGCTTTAATTAGATTTTGAAAGTTATAAAAAGCTGTATGGCAATGCAAGCATTGGACAAAAAAAGACCTTATAGTGTAGATATGCAGGAATATTCAATAGACACTGAAAAGTACAAAATCACATCATTGTGCCACCATGTTTTAGATCTATGTAAAAGTTTCCTATTTATACTTTCAGCACACAAGGTACAACAGTTCCACAAGGCTGTTATCGTGGATCTTTGGAGATCTTTATCCTCAGAAATGGCTTCTGATAGGAGCTATGTTACACCAAGTGGCTAGAAATCTCTTGCCCCACTAGCAGTCTATACTCAATGCTTTAAACAGCTGTTTGTACTGCTTGTAATTTCCAAGAGTACAGGGTTTTTTTTACTCTCTCTTGGTCATTTGTAAGTTAGGTAATACCTGATTATAAAACATAAAATTGAGTTTATTCAATAAACCTAAGAAAAGCTTGCCAGCTGCATTTATCCTTAGCAACCAATTAGATTTCAACTTTCATTTGCCCTTAATGTTGAGACCTGATAAAAGGTTTACATGTACATTGGACTTTTATGCTTGTTGCTAGGATTATCTTATTAAATACTGACACATTAGGGCACATTAGGGTGGTTGCACTTAAAGCTCACCTTGCATTAAAATACAAGGTCTGAATATGTTTAAAGCCTCCATCACTAAAATAAATAACATCACTGTAGCTACACTTCGTGATGTAACTGTACACATGGAATAAAGGGAACTCTGCTTGGAGAACCTTTGGAGTGCTGGTGACTTACTGTTTTGTTTAGTTTTGAAAACAGGAGCTAGTTACCGACAAGTGAAGCACAAATATACATAGCTGGAAAACATAACATCTGTAGTTTTATAAAATGCCTTCACACTAAAAATAAGGTAATAATGTGCAAGTAAGATCAGCATGATGTCTGCCTTAAAGGCAGGGCTTATAATAAACTTTACAGTTTACCTTTCAGGAGACTCTTGCGAAGGATAAGATGGACCTATATTACTCCTAGCAATTCTGGTATTGGTTTTGTACACAAATGGTCAGACTTGGACGAGAAATGCAAAAATGAAAGCACAAACTGTAAATGTTTTTCTTTGGTGATCCCATCTCTTGCATTACTACACCAGGCACACTACACACTAGTATTATCCTTCACTGCCGGGAGCATGGTACTACAATGGTCATACAGGTTTTTTTCCATGTTAAATGTATTTTTGCTTAATAATGATCTGATTGAGTCATGTGGAAATGTGGTTGGGCATCTAATGTAGTGTGACATTCAATACTCCAGCCATCTGACAAATTCTCAGCCCATCCTGAGGTTACTTGGTCTTCATGGCTTTGTTGCTGGCTGTTAACTTGCCAGAGTTTGTACTATTTATAGTAAATGCCCTCAATTGGTTTGTTGGGGGAGTGGCATGCAGGGCAGGCATTTATGCTAAAGATTACAGTGTTTATGTGCTCACTGTATACCAGGGACGTGCGGCCTGGGGAGGCAGCGCCTCACCTAAAATTATGGGGGGAAAAGCTGTCAGCTTCATGTCTGAAGCTGACAGCTTTTTCTCCATTCAGATCGGCATCTAACAGGTTACACAGCAGGGAAATCCTCCCCGCTGTGTAACCTGTCACAGAGCCTCAGCAGCGAGGAGCAAGTGAGGGACAGGGAGGCTCCTCCCTGCCTCCTTTACACTAGCTTGGGGACGGGTTGGGGGGCTGGGCTTCATCCGGCGGGGGCAGAGCTTCGGCCAGCGGGGCTGGGGATTGCATCACCACGAGGTACCACACATCACTGCTGTATACCTGTGTGTAGCACAGGTTTTCTCCTATTGTTATCGGTAATTGGAATATGTGTAATGGCACTATGTAATAAAGCTTTGGCCTTGTATTTCCAGTGTGAACTTGTTTATGTGTCATACAATACAAAATCTAAAATAATTGCACAATAATCCTGTCAGAAAAATATGTAAAAATAAACATGGGTTGTTTCAAAGGCAAAACAAATAGAAAACTGGCAAAATGTCTTTTAACGTTAAAAAAAACTATAGACTAACAAAATGAAATTACCACCAAGACATGCTCTTTATAAATGAAACGTGTGCTTCTTGATGCCTATAGCAGCTATTCAGCAACCAACTATCATTTCAGCAAGTCCAAGTTTAAGGCTTCTCCAAAAGGCAATTATTCTGATTTTTGCTATGAGTCACAAGATATTTTACTTTTTGAATACTTTTAATGTATTATCCCCTAAGCAAATACTTTGCATGTTTATTTGTTTGTTTAGAATTTCAGATAAAAGTATATTTATAGTTAAGACTTTGGACAAAATTGAAATGATGTCAGCAATGGGAAATGTCAGTGTTCAAGTCTTACATACATGATCTCAATCCCCATCACTCAAAAGCTTTCCCTAAAGCCAAAGTAGAAGAATTATTGTAAAAGAGAACGGAGCTCTTAAAACTTAATGTAAATAATTAGGAATAAGGTACTTTATTTAGCATTGATCTAGCCTTAATCCAGAGTAAAGAATTAGAATCCTTAGCCTTTAAAGAAGACAAAAATGAAGGACACAAAAATGTGGCACATAAAAAGTATTTCTAAACCCAAGAACAAAAAAAGTAATACATTGCAACTTGCCAGTCCTTGGTGGCTGCTTTTCTTTTTCAGGCTTCTCTTCCTTTATTCTCATGCATAGATCCTGCCAGTAAAACATTTCCTTTTTTAGGATGACAACGCTCATTCACTGTAGTGTATTTATGGAGGAGAAGCTTTGTCACCCTAGAATAGGAAGTGTGTTAGGACTACAGAACACACTTCTCTCCTCTTCTCCATGCTATAGGATGAAGGTGTTTTGGTGTTCTGTAGACCTTAACCACTTGCCGCCTGGAGCAATTTCTTACATTTGCACACACGAAAAAAAATCTGAATTTTTGGCTAGAAAACAGCTTCCGACCCCCAAACAATTATATATTTTCTGAAAGCAGAGGCACTGTAGAATAGTTGCAATTTTTTATGTCGCACGTTATTGCGCAAATGTTTATCAAACAAGTATTGTTAGGATAAAATACACTAAAATTAAATTTAGTGCACAGAAACAGAATATAATACCCATCTTTTAATAAAATATAAAATATGCGGTTGCACCGGGTAAATAGATATCAAGCCTTAAAATTGTGTGCGTCTGTGAAACCGCAAAAAACTACAATAACCAACATTTCCCATAGGCGACGCTTTAAAGGATTTTACTGCTCATCAGTTTAGTGTTAACAGTGATTGATGGGCCTAGAATTATTGCTCTCACTCTGATGCTCATGACCATATGTAACATGTGTGGCACACTTTTCGTTTTGCACTTAGGCGCGTCAGATGTTTGCTTTGTATGTGCGTGCACGTGGGGGGCTGGGGACGTTAAAATATTTTTTTTTCTGATACTTTGAATTTTACAATTTTGTTTTTTTACACTCAACTTTATTGCTATCACATATGGGGCTGATAACTTCAGGGTTATTCACAAAGGGGTGAAGAGTTTGGAGAAGGCAGGAGAAGTGAACAATCTAGGACAGCACAGCTGATTTGGAAAAATTCTCCAATTCAGCTCACTTTCCAGTTCAGCTATGTTGTCCTAGATTGTTCACTTCTCCTGCCTTCTCCAAACTCTTCACCCTTTACTGAATAACCCTGATTGAGATAACATGGTTATCCATGTCCTATGTCAGTGTCCCCCTGACATAGGACAGCAATGCATTTTTGGATCAACATTTTTTTTTTTCATTTATCAAAAATATATAATTCAACACAATAGTGTACTTTACAGACCAAAAGGGAGCAAATAAGAGAAGCTCATTCATATGGTTTACACTTTAAAGGCCAAGACTGCTCTGAAATACTACAATTCTAGCTTCCTGTAAAGTGTAGCTTAGGAAGAGAGATAACAAGTTGTTACATGCTGTGACGCAAATCTCAAGAACAAATCAGGCATGATGCAAAACACAACTAAGGAAGCTCTGTGAAGTTAGGGCTTTGCTCTTCTACATAATGAACCTAAAAGAAAGTTGCTCCCTCTGTGTAATGTATCTGTTAGGTTGACTGGATAATTGGATGTGACATTGGA